ATTGGCCTAGCTATCACCTCTGGAGGCAGTGGATTTACTGCAGTGATGGAAAAGCCCCTTCCGTTGCTGTCGTAGGTATCTACACCATAGCACTACAGTGGCACAGTTGCAGCACGAGCTGTGCTGCTGTAGCGCTTGTAGTAGAGACAACCCCTTATAATCAGTGCCCCGCAGGGGCCTTGCTGGCAGAAGGATGTAGTGAAACAGTGCGTGCCTTGACCACCATGGCCACACACCCCTCCTGGGCCAAAACCACTAACTGTGAGGCCTTTGCAGGTAGGTTGTGAGGGCCCTGACAGAGTGAGTGTTTCAGGTGCCTTGCACCACAGCATTCTGAGTTCATGTGGACTTGCCACTGTGGGGAAAAGTGAGTCCTGGCTTCCGCAGAAGGTGCTATTCTAACCTGTTCCTGAATATAACCCCCTGCATTAAATATTATATCTATCTAATTCGCATCTGTCTAGATAGATTGATAGCGGTGGGCCTGATTTTCATTTACACTAAGATCTAATAGGGCCTTGAATGAAGGTCAATCACATTTCTGCCACCTTCAAGGCCCTTTTACACTGCCAGATGGTGTAAAGGGTCTTTAATGTAACTAAGAATTTGGGGTAAACATATATGCATGCACAGAGAGAATATGATGTTTTTACTACGGGTGTTATTGAGTGTTGTAGGTTTCTATAAGGGAAGTAATTATTGAAAATATAATAAATGAAAAGAGTAGAAAGCATACTCGCCTCTCATACACTTTTACATTATATATTATGTATGTAGTATTGTGTTACTCCAGTTGGTTTGGCAGTCAGTTCCGAGTGTTATGAATGCCATCAAGCCCACAAAGCCTTCTGCTGGTGCAGAGCTTTAAAACAATTATTAAAAATTTCAGTGGCATTTTTACTGTTGTTAAGAAACACTAAAGCCACAGATTGATGAATGGTGCCATGCTGCGCTAGCTGCACATTCAAAAAGGATTTTCAATAGTTCAGAGCGTGCCCTCCTTTCCCCTCCAGCACAAGGGAAAAAAACTATTATGATAATTGGTCATTGTTTGTTTGTTTAATAAGCACCAACAATGTGCTTGGTGCTGCACAAGATGTAAAAATAAGGACAGTCCTTCCTGAGAGAGTTTAAAATTTAGGGCTCTGATTCAGGAAAGTAGTACGGACATGCTTATGTCCATCCCTTTTCAGGAAAGCATTTAATTCCCATTGACTAAAAGACAGACATAGAGAAAACTGACATCTTGGGAGAGCAGAGAAAGGTGATAATTTAGAATTGTGTTTTGTTGCTTTGTTATGTGTTTTCTCTTCTTCCCTGGTCTCACACCCCTCTCTTCAGACAGCGTTAGGTTGGGATACTGAAGGTATTTGACACAATTTAGAGATTTTAGGTGTCACCGCAATACTTGCATAATAATAATTTTTGCTGTTTACATTATTGTTTTATTTTCAGGATTTGAACCGCCAGATAAACAAAATAGAAAATGATTATGAGCCATTCCCATGCTTATTCCCATCACTGTAATTTCTGGGTGCCAAATACATTAGTTAGAGAGATGAAGCAGGTGTGAGGGGGGATTTTTGACAATATACTCAGCTTTAGCCTAACGCTGCTTCCATTGCAGTGAGTGGGAACGCTCTCACTTGTTTCAGTGGGAGCAGCATGAGGCCGATGCTGAAAATCTCACATACAATGCCTCCCAGAGCTCTAGTGAGGGTTGGGGAGCATGGCTGTTGAGTCAGGCTTGAAGAGGCTACAGCAGGCACTCCCCACTGCACCGAGCTAGTTCCACTGACTCTTCCTGGTGAGGAAGCAAAGCAAGGCCCCTGCCCGCCCCTTTATATCTGTTTTGGAGGGGCTAGTACTGACAATGAGCTTACATAGGCTTTGTACTGAGAGGGTGGCAAAGGGCACATCATGCTGATCCCTAGCATGGGTGCCTACATTTCTTGCATCTTCCTCCTCCCTTGCACACTTGTGCTTAGACAGGCACAATCTTGCCTTTGCAATACAGTCCCAGTTCAAGCCTTCTTGGAGGTAGATCATGCCATTGTTTGTTCATGCTTCATCCCGTTCTACAGGGGTTAATCTACAGAATATACAGAGTAATTTGTTAGACATTTCTATGTGTTTCACGTCTTTATTATTGTTTTTTCGCTTTCCTAAATTTTCATATAATTCAGTATCTAAATTAAACTCTATCTTTCTTCTGAGATTTTTTTTCTAGAGTTAAAATGAGCAGGCTGTTCATTTTGGCCTAAAGGTAGCTGATGATGTAATAATCTCTTGAACAGTCCATATCCTATCACAACAGATACTTCACCTTGTCACTTTGCAGGGATTAAATGAGACTCCCACTCATTTGTTTCAGTTCTCACAAATAACAGCTTCCTTCCCAAGTCTCAGTAAAAGATAATTAATTTATCTGTACTCAGTCTGTTTCTGATTACATACTGGTTAACACTCTGAGTTATTTCATGAAGCTGTATAACTATATGAGTGCTAGTGCCCAGGGCCGGCCTTATGGATGGTTGATGGGGGCAACCGCCCAGGGTGCCGTGCATCAAGAGAGTGTCACAATAATAGCCTCCTCCCCCAACCACACCCGCCTCCGGTTCCACTCCCCAGACCTGTTCACCTCATAGCTGCGGTCCACCTCCAGTCTTGATCTGCCCCATCCCTTGCACTGCCTACACCTCTGCCCTAGGGTGACCAGATGTCCCGATTTTATAGGGACAGTCCCGATATTTGGGTCTTTTTCTTATATAGGCTCCTATTACCCCCCCGCCCCCGTCCCGATTTTTCACATTTGCTGTCTGGTCACCCTACTCTGCCCCCCTGCCCAGCTCCACCTCCACCTCCAGTATAGCTCCTCCCCCATCCCCAGCTCCAGCTCCAGTCCACCCCATCTCCCATTCTGCCTGCACCTCCTCTCCGCAAGCTCCACGCCCCACCCAGCTCCACTTCCCCCAACCCTGCTCCACCGTTAGCCTCACCCAAGGTGCCATTTTAGGTAAGGCCGGCCTTGCTAGTACCTCAAGATTATGATGTAATAAAATCTAAATGTTGCTGACAAGCTGACTTGACAAATCCTAACAAAGGATATAATTCTAGTGTGTGTGCGGGGGTGGGGAGGAGTGTTAATTACCTGAGTCATATTATCTATTATATTTTCAATATATCTGTGTGACATAGGATTATGCTCAATCCTAACTGGAACTTCTCCATGTATAACTGCGAGCCAGTTCATATGAAAATCAACATCAGAGGGATATTTTTTAGCAGTGTAATTCCTTGCGTTGAATATAAGTCTACAAATTGTATGTATATACAGCTTTAAAATGAAGTATATGAATTCATAGAAAATATTATTAGCCTGATTTTCAGATAATTTATGCACCTAAATTGCCTGGGACAGTTGCCATGCTTGTGCATGCAGGTCAGCTTTTTTGATGAGAAATTATCTAATTAGACACATCTGAACCTGCCATTTCCCAGTAGTAGAGTTCATTTACAGTGTTTTCACTCTTAACTATTTTAAAACTCTGGACCTATCTGTTTAGACTATTAACCACCAGAGAGGTGTTTGTGTGTGGTATTTTATCATTCACCAATAGTGTGGCTAACCTGAATTCCTTTAAAAATAATACAGCAGAGCCTCGCAAATTAACACTTCAGTAACCTGCATACTCCACAATTCATATGTAAAAAAACAGTGGTTTCTTTACCTACTTTTCTGCCAAAATTTAAAAACCAAATGCTTTAGTGAGGTCTCATTGCAAAATCTAAGACTCTTTACTAGACAGTTATGAGAAATAATTAAATCTAAGTTGTAACTGTGAAATTAGTGAAAAGAAGCATTTTCTTATGCGGTATTCTGATTATTTTTTCATGTTTGTTCACACAGAGCCTGATATTTGTATTGACTCCATTGAGTTTGGGATCAGGCCCTTACTTGATTATTCATAAATTGCAAATAAGAAAAGTGCTACTGTAATTAATGCAGACTTTGGACAGGTCCCTGTAGCAAGATTTAAGTAGGGTTGTGGATGACTCTACAGTTTGGAGTCACAGACATTTATTAGAGTGAAATTTGTATTCATTGTCCTTTTATATTAATTTTTCACAAACAGTTGAGCATTATGGTTGGGATTTTCCGAAGACCCCAAGGGGTTGGATGGCCGATGGGAATTAGGCATCCAAATCTCTTTGGCTTTTTAAAAAAATCTTACCCTATAGCTTTTTCGGGGCTAGCAGTTGTGAACCTTGAATTCTATGGAGAATTCTCTAAAGTCTTTAGAGAACTTTTTCCCTCTGGTTGCAGGTAGATGGGAAACCTTCATATTTTGCTTGTACAGTGTGGTTTCTGTATGAGTTTTAAGTGAGCATCTCTTCCCCAACAGAATGAAGCTCCCGAAGCTAAGAAAGAGGAATGTTTGCTAGATCTGGACTTTGACCCTTTCAAGCCAGAAGTGGTATCAACAGGAATAACCCTAACTCACTCACCCATGTCTCAGGTATTTCTTTGCTAGAGGTATGCTATACAGGAATAGAGTGTGCTGAATTTGGTAACAAACATCTGCCTCATGAATTAATGAATGATGGATTTACAATTTCTGAAAAACTTGATCTCCCTGAGTTCTCATTAGCCTTCCATCTTCCTACTTCAGCAATACCAGTACAACCTGATGATAGAGTAGGGGAGGAGAGAGAAGTGTCAGGCTAACATGAGATTATAGTCAAGGACAGCAGCCACCTGTAACTGATGGCTTTGACGCTGACATTATACCTTTTTCTCAAACTATAGAATAACTCAGAAAAAATGTTGTAATCTTCCCAAGCCTGCTTTGCTGACAGGTTCTTTTTTTTAAATCCAGCTATGACTGTCTGTGGCTCAGGAGACACTCAGTTATAGGGGCAGCATACTACCACTATGCTGTAATGGAGTCTTTGTACTAAGTATAGCATACAACCTGATTGGCTTTCTTTTTCATAAATGTGTTTTAGTTCTGACTATAAGAAAAAGAAAATAAAATGGTCTCACATTTTTTCATGTGGGATATTATAGGGAAGAATTATTCTGTACTATAGAATGATCTATGCCACGTTGACCGAAGGTAGCTTCCCTCAGCAGAATTATGGGTGATATAGGCTTTCTGCTGGCTTGACCTAGTGAAGCTGCAATTTTAAGCTTCTGTCTATACTGGTACTAAATAATGTTAATAGAATCCTTTCTAATTATACTTATTGCTAGTGAGGTGATAAGAATTTCTCTGGCCAGCATGGACCTGCCTCTTGTACAGCAGTCAGAGAAACCATGTTAACACACTGCTAGCAAGGACCACGTTTCAGTGTGATTCTGGCCGGACATGGTTTGAACTGTAATGTAGTTAGAGTCTAAATCAATTGTTCAGTTCAACAGTGGTATAGGAGTGAGAAGACAAGCCAGGTGATTGAGACAATCCAGGTTTTCTGCTGATCTTTCTCTCTGTGAATTAATTTATTTGGTGAGCATGCCTGTTTATATAATAGGGGGGAGGGATAGCTCAGTGGTTTGAGCATTGGCCTGCTAAACCCAGGGTTGTGAGTTCAATCCTTCAGGGGGCCACTTAGGGATCTGGGGCAAAAATCAGTACTTGGTCCTGCTAGTGAAGGCAGGGGGCTGGACTCGATGACCTTTCAAGGTCCCTTCCAGTTCTAGGAGATGGGATATCTCCATTAATTATTATTATTATTATTATTATCTGTGGTGATTTCCATTGATACATGTGGGGACAGAAAAACATCACACTATCAGCACTCCAAACTCCAAGTCAGATTTCTCATTGCAGTTTTCAATGTTTAATGATCATGGAGCTTTGTCACATCCTGCTTGTTATTTAATTCCCCTCCCTGTAAAAAATAGAATCCTTGGATTTAGATTCATGCATTCAGTGTTGACAGAAAATTCCAGCTTTGACTCTGCGAGCTCTGCCCTTTCAGCTCCTCATTTAATAATCCTGAACGTGATTAGAGAAATGAGAGAATTAAACACAAAACATGAAACTTTCATAAAAGAGCATTTGAGCGCTGACAGTGTAATGTACAAATTACAGTAGGTTTTATTTTTGCAGTGGATGGAAATATTTGCCCATATGAAATATAGAGAACTATTAAACAGAGACTATGTACATTGTCACCAACTAGATGCATAGGAGGCATTCAGTAAACACTCTCCCCTCCCCCTAAACATGCAGAAGGGGGGTTATCTTTTGTGTGGGTGAGACATAGCTCTGTGCCTACCCCTACTTGGAGGATATCTTTGAGGATTACAATTCACTTACAATCCACTATTCTGACTAGATGTAACTGGATGAAATCTGTGATCTCAGTGTTTGGAAAGCCCTGTAATACTGGTTGGGAGGGGGACGCTAAGGATGGAGTTCCTGCCTTACGTGCATTTTCTGAGTTTGTGTTAGCTTTACTCCAACTCCTTGTCTTCTAGACCATTCGGTGTTCTTGTTGTGGTTAGTTTTTTCTCTCTCAGTAAACTGCACTGAGGCAGTGCAGTGAAGATAATAAATAATAAATAAATTAATGGAGATATCCCATCTCCTAGAACTGGAAGGGACCTTGAAAGGTCATCGAGTCCAGCCCCCTGCCTTCACTAGCAGGACCAAGTACTGATTTTGCCCCAGATCCCTAAGTGGCCCCCTCAAAGATTGAACTCACAACCCTGGGTTTAGCAGGCCAATGCTCAAACCACTGAGCTATCCCTCCCCCTAAACATAGTCTTCTGTGCAGTGGTTCCCAAATGCCTTCCCAACCTGCCATTTAATTCTCCCACCACACTCCCTCAACTGCAAACAGACCCTGAAAAGTGCCCCGTCTGCTCTCCTCTCTGCCCCTACCTCCTTTCCATCTCTGTAACCCTCATTCCACAAGTGCCTGGGACTATTCTCCCTCTGCCTACCCCACTCTTTCAGCAATAACTTTCCCACCTCCCAACACCCTCACAGTCCAGACCACCCTCTGTGTTCTGTCCCTTCTCTCCTCAGTAATTATTACACATGCACCCCACAAGCACCTAGTCTCTATCACCCCAGCTAATAAACCCAGCCAGAGAAACATTCTGACCTTCATTCTGAGTCCTCCTGGTATCCTGTCTCCCAGAGCACGCAGTCCTGCCGCACCTCCCAGTTGTCAAATCTCCATATCACCCACAAGTGCCTGATTTTAACATCTTAAATCCACCTTTTCCTCAGATGGGAATGAGAACATCCCTTAGAGTTAATGTTACTTTAAATTATTTTGACTGTTGGTATTTTGCATCTGAACAGTCAAGTTAATGCTATTTGAGTGTGTTTACAGACATCTCCATCAGCCTAAGAGAGACCACTATTGTGGAATTTAATTTTTGTGCTTTTTAAAATAGTAGAATTGAGGGAAATAGTTCTGCTGACATGCCAGAGTTGAGTTGCTTTCACACCATGGAGTTTTAAGGATTGGGGAAGATTATTACATTGTGGGGAGGAGAGATAAAGGGATGCAAAGACATTTTTCCCAAACACCACTATTGTCACTAACAAAAAAGCCACAACTCAAAACAGGGTTTCTAATGGAAATACTGGTAGCTCCTTAATTGTAGTACTAACATCAGACACCAGCATGGGATGCACCCCTCCAACTTTGACTTTACAATTATTTCTCATTCACATATGTAGTACCACTAAAGTCAATGGGACTTTTAGCGTCAATAGGTCGGATCATTTCCTTGAGCAAAGGTTGCAGAACTGGGCCCATAATTTTTCAGGAAAGTATTGACAGTTAACTAATAGACTATTAAGATGCATGTGGATAATTATCAATTGGGATATGTCCATAAAAGAAATACTTATGTGGGAATAAACTAATTGAGAACTGGATGATGTTGTTCATCCACAGTAAAGCTGGGTACTGAAGTAATTGATTTTGATTTATGAAAAGGGGTTTGTAGTCATAAAAAATTGAAGTAGTTCATTACATAAGCTGCAGACTTGATTCAGGCCTTCATAAATTTAGGGTGCAGGCATTTAGCAAGGCAGGAAGGCAAATGCAATATGCTCCATCCTCGAAGTTAGGCAAATATTTAGTAGCAGTTCTCAAAACAGTTTTTGATTTTTTTTTTTTGGTAGTTGTGTTCTTATTTTATCTGTTGGAAAGTGTCCCTGTCACCCTTTGAGGCCAATGAAGACCCTTTGGATGTGGGGGAATATTAATGTCAGGACTAAACTTAGCTTTCTTTCATCCACTGTCTGTGCATCCATCTCTGGCCCTTTTGCTTATGGTGAGAATATTCAGAATGTAAACCAATGCAAACCAATTGTGAGGGTTTAAAGTTTGTCACTTGATTTCACCTAAAGCCATTGGTTTTTCCTGGGTTGCTACAACAGCCACACAAGATTATTCTTTAAGGTCTGTGGGAACCATGGCCACATATCCTTGATCTTTTGAAAGGAATCTTGATCATTTAATAGCTGTGGGAGGTAGAGACACCCATCCTGCCTCTGATGTTGCTAAAGTCACTACAAGCTTTCTCCCTGCTGTGCCATGCAGCTGGGCTGGCCTTTCTTCTGATAAGCCACTAACATTTATCATCTCTGTTCACAAGGAGGGATATTTTAATAGATTCAGAGGTATAGAAATCCAGTGTGCTGAGAAAGGGATTGAGAGCAAGAGACTCCCGAATTCTATTCCTGGTTCTGTTACTAATTCCCTCTATGGCATTGGTCAAGTCACAGTCTTCCTGCTTTAGTTACCCCATCTGTAAAATAAAACAATACGTCCCTGACTTGCACAGGGATCGTGACAAGACCCTCCAGAGACTGGATCTCTGGCTTATCTGAGCAACTGTCCCTCACAAAACTAGTGTACCTATTGATGACTATGTTGATGATCCAAGTAGCTGGCCTCCATTTCTGCAGCAGTAGGAGGCTGGGGAGACCTGAACATAAGAACGGCCATACTGGTCAGACCAAAGGTCCATCTAGCCCAGTATCCTGTCTTCCGACAGTGGCCAATGCCAGATGCTTCAGAGGGAATGAACAGAACAGGAAATCATCAAGTGATCCATCCCCTGTCATCCACTCCCAGCTTCTGGCAAACAGAGGCCAGGGACACTCAGAGTGTGGGGATGCATCCTTGCCTACCCTGCTTATAGCCATTGGTGGAGCTATCCTCCCAACCTGAAGTTTTCCATGCATGCCAGTCATATGCATAGTGGTGTGAGCTCACTGAACAAGTGCAGTTTTGTTGCAGTAGTAACTATCACAACCCTCCATTTACCCTCCCTCAGCCCCAAAAATATACTAAGGCTGTGCTTAAGCACTGGGTATAATTACAGCACTATACAGATAAGTTCTAACATATAGTGTACAAACAATATTTTCAACAATATCTTTTTCTCCCTTTTTCCAGACATTGCCCTGGGATTTATGGACGGTAAGATTAATATTTATCATTGCGTATTGAGATGTTTCTGTGCCTCTATTCTGTAGCACTCTAGAGGATTTGTAATCATTTTCACATAAGGCAAAACGAAGCATTTGTAGAGAATGCCAAAATACTTTAAAGTATGTGAAGCCCATCTAACACCATTAGGAATGAACGGGAAAAAAATGACTTTATTATTTGGACAACAAAAAACAAAGAGCTACAGTCATCCAGGTTAATAGGATTCTTCTACTTGTGACATTTTTTGGCTTTAAAATTGCCATGCTGGTGATTCAAGGTCCGATAAAGTCATTTTTACCAAGGTAATTTAAAGTGATTTATTTTGCTTATTAGTGCAAACAACAAATTGCAGTATATTAACAAGGTTTTATGACCTTTATCATCTAGCTCATATACAACAAATCTTTCTGGGGGGTTAATTTAAAAGGAAATAGGATCTTCAGCCAGAGTTCTACCATAGCTCTATAGCCGAATTAATCAGCCAAAATTCTATTTTAATAATGTACATTTATGCCATTGGTGCAGCCACTGCTTCACTCCCAAGAGCTGTTGCTCATCCCATCCCGAGTACCGTATAAAGCCATTAGGGAATATTATTTGGGAGTCCCCTTGAAGATGCACATAGAGGGTTTCTGGCATGTATAAGGAAGGTTTGGCAGTTCTTAATTGATATCCAAAATAAGGCTTCCCTATCTAAATGCCTACATGTAAAACAATATGATGCAAAGCCATAATGCAGGTCAGAAAGCTTAACAGTAGGGATCTGATCTAAAGCCCATTGAAGTCAATAAGTTTTGAATGAGGTCCTAGACAGCCTGTTTTGGTAAGAGCCTAGATATGTTCCCAGCTGTCCATTTAGGGTCACATCACGCTTGGGATGAAATTAACTCCCAGATTTAAATGATTTAAAGTGAACCTTCTCTCTAAATCCTGCATTACCTGCTGAACAGATGTATCATAAGCAGGGGATTCATATGTACAATTCTTCCTCACCCATCCCATGTAAAGCACAGAGAGACAAAAGTAAATGGTCTAGAACCTCAGCCAGTGTCAATTAGCCTAGTTGGTTTCCCTGGAGCTTATTTATATGAGCTGAGCATCTGGCCTTACATCTTTTCCCTACATCTCTGCTGTGCTAGTTTTCCATGAATATCCTCAGCACTCCTGAACTCATTTGTTTGCCGTGCAGCAGCAGCAGTAATAGACCCCAGAAAGTTTTGCCTCGTGTCCACCGCTTCAGGCGCAACATGCAAAGCCTCCTGGGGTGCATTAAAGGCCAGCAGGGAAACCAAACCGGGTTTGGGAGCTCTGGGGCCAGAAATAGGGCATCTGGTCACAGAGGTGGAAAGCAATTTTATAGGAAGGGAAGGAGACTCTCAGCTTCTGGGCAGGGCTAACGAAGAAGAGATATTTATATTGAGAAATTGTACTGAGGGTTTTCTCAGTCAAGCTGATTACAGCTATTTTCTGCTTTTATTTTCATGTATTTAATAGCTATTGGAGGGTGGTAATGGATGCTACTGGTCACCTGTTTTCAGATGTCTGAGGTTGTATTTCCTTTGAACTTCCTTTCAATAGACACCTAATTTTTTATTTTTCAAAATTCAGGGGTGGAGAGAGAATTGATCTTTAAATACAGTAAATTTAAAAGTAACAGTGGACATACCATCAGCTGGTATTTAGAAAATCAGCTACTGCATAGAAAATGCAATTGCTCTTTCTCCTGTCTCCTGCTGCTGAATCGGGTATAATGATGTGCAGGAAGAAGAGGACTCATTTTCATGAGCTTTCTTCCTACTTTGTGTCAAAGTGCTGGCTGTCTAGACCGCCTGAGGAACCAAAGAACTCTAATCTGTGACCTTGTGCAGACTTTAGTAGCGCAAAAATCTGTGGATCTTTTCTGTTGACTCAAGGCCTTAAGAAGCAAAATTTACAGCCATGTTGCATGAATAGATAGCAAGTGTGATGCTTTTATAATGCTCATCTCTGCTTCTTAGGGAGGATTAAACAGAGCCCAGAACAAAAATTAAGGTTTCATTTACACACACTAGTTAGAATTTAATTTTTTACTTTTAATTTCAAAGCCAGTGTAAATGCCATGAGAACCTCTTGAAGTTATAACACTGAATGAATAGTAGATGTTTTATGTAAGTCTGCTTGTCTCACATTTTTCCTTTGTCGCTTGTCAATATTTTTCTTTTTTATAGCTAATTCTAGTTCTCTCCACTCGTGTTAAAAAACAAGTGACAAGCTTGACAAGGGCTTCACTGTTAAATAGTTTGGATCAGGGGTTTCACAAGCTTTATTATGTTGTGAACTTCCTCTTAACAGAAAAACTAAGCCAGATTCACCTTTGCCCTGCGCTTTGTGTAGTCATTTCTGCAAAGTGTTTGTAAATAGCTGGCATTTTAATTTGGCAGTGTTTTACACCCATTTGGCACTGATGCAAATGTCTATGCAAGGTGGATGGTTACAGAGAATCAGACCTATTTTACAGTAAGGCCCCTGCCAGGGGGTTGTGTAAAGGGACCTAGTTTAAATGACATCAGACCCATTGTCAGGCTCTCTAGTATTACTTTGTCCCTCTAGTATGCTGGGACCAACACAGCTACAATTACACTGCACAGACCAGACCTATTGTCTTTTGGATCACTTCGCATCCTGTTCATGATCACACAGAGCGATCTCCCTTTCTGTTGGTGATGGAATGAGATCCTTGGGACAAGCAGAAATTACTTACACGGGACAACAATGTTAGAGAACTATTTCATATACATTTAGCTACTAATGTGAGTTAGCAGCTGGAAACATGGAAGAGAGCCAGCACCATGTGATCAGCCAGCTCTGAGCAGCCCCTGCCAGCTCCACAACCATTGGTAATCCATATGGCACTGAAAAAAAAATCAGTAGTTTAGGTAAACCACAGGGTTTAGTGTTACATTTGTTTATTTATATGGTTTTCTTCCATACAGACAAGCAGTGAACTGGTGCAGCCGGTAAGTAAACCTCTAACTGTTTTAGATTCATCTTTTAATCAGTGTGATGTAATATAGTTCTCTGTGTCATCTATCAATACCATTCTTTAGATTGCTAGCTATTGTCTCCAAATATTACAAACCACATAACTTTTCCTTAAACTGTTTCACTTATTTTGCATTCTTTATCTTTAAACTAAAATTACTATAGTAGAATATGAATTTTGTGTTGTCTCATCAAGTCCACCGTTATCTTTTTCATCTTGTTCTTTTCTTTGCTTTTCTGCTTGCCTAAAGCCTGATTCTTCAAAAAGTCTTTCCCTGTGTAACCTGGTCATGGAGGAAACCCCAAACAATGGGTCAACAGAAGATATTAACAGATCCCAAACTGATCTAGGTTCACTCAACTGGGGCCTAGAACTTAGCACAGCCAGTGTCAGCCAGGAGATCACTGCAGGTGGTCCTTTGCCTTTCCCTGAGGCAGAGCAAACCTCAAGAGAATCCACTGGTACATTGTCTGCTAGTGTTTGGCCTGCTGTAGGTGAGCAGGAAGAACATGCACCAGGGTCATCTTCTATAGATGAAAATCAGAGGACTTCACTGAAGGCACATTCAGATGCTAGAAATATCCCAGGCAAAGATTTGGAGACTGATCAGCCTTTAGCGAATGAATCCAGTTGTGAGATGCCTATCATTGGAATTGATAGCTTATTGGATGAATCCCCATGTGATGTGGAAAAGGCAGAGGAGAAGAAGCAGGAGGAAGAAGAGTCTATGTGGGCAGGTGTGGAGCCATGTGAAAAGGTAGAGACCAGAGCTGTTAACTTCAAGGAGATAAAACATACAAAGGAGTTTGAAGAGACAGATTATGAAAATAAAGAACACAGTGAAGTAGAACCTCTTAAGGGCTTAGCAAAACGAGACCATGAAATCCTAGAAAACACTGAGATAGAAACTGTATGGGAGTCAGAATATAATAATGGGCAAACTGAGACAACTGTTGACAATTACCTTGAGGAAACTGGCCTGGAAAATCATGGGCAAATAAAATTTAAAGGGGTAAATGTCATTCAAGAGATAGATGGAATAGTTCCTGGAAGTTTGAGTACAGGGTTGGAAGATGGTGCTAACATAGCAGAGAACACATGTAAACATGTAGAATGTGCTGATGTTGAACCTGAGAATGTCTTAGATAACTGGAATCGTGACCATGAAACAGAGTGTTCGGATGACTTAGACCATGCTGGCAGTGTTATTGGAGGGAGGACAGCCATGGAGTGCATAAATGTTACGGGACATGTTGTCCTAGATGTTACAGACCACTCTGAAAAGGACACTGCAGATGTTGGAAAAGTTCTGTGTGATGCTGAATTATTCAGTGCAGAAGAGTCTGTTAAAGAAATTGAAGACAATAGCTTCAGCACCCTCCAAAATGGTAGTGCTGCTGATGAAGGTCAAGCTGACTTTATACCCTTTGAAAAAGAATTGGCACTGCAGCCTGAGTCAGCTGACAAAGCTAATGCAAAGTGCAGTGATTCTTGTTTAGATAATGTGGACGATAAATTGGTAGTTAGGGCAGCACCTGCAGTGACCGAAGACCATAGTAGTAACATTAGTGTCCCTGGAGGAGGCTTGGAAACAGATCCCTGGCTGGCAAATTGGGATCCCACAGTTAATAATGATCCCTGGGGGTTTTCTAGTCTGTCAGATGGCCAAACAAATGGATTTGATAACTGGCCCTTTTCCCCTAAGCAACAAGACTCAGAGGAAAGTAATATGGAAAACACCTGGCCAAGCTTTAGTGATAAATGGTCTACCCAAGGCTTGGGAAGTATAGATATTAGCTGGGGAGACATGGGTGTAACCACAAGCAATAAAAATCAGGAGGTATCTTTAAAACAAGGCTCATCCGGGGAGCAGGCAAGCATTAGCAACTCTGGACCAAGCAAGGAGATAGCTAGACCCTTGGTTCTGTTTCAAGTGGGAAATTCCAGAAACGCTAGCACCGAGAGTTCAACTAGTCCCAAAGACAATGAGACCAACAACTCAGATTTATCTGAAGATGAAATTGCTAACCGGAGATATGGATTATTGTACCAGGAAATTGAGGCTGATAAAGAAGAGGTACCTACCCCAGTGTGTAGCATAGTCTAGAAAAAGAGTTCCTTAGGTTGTACATAACCCTGTGTTTTATAAACAGTCCATTTACATGTTCCCCCTGCCTCCTCTAAACCCCTTGCTAATCTTGTTGAAAATTTCTCATGCAACTATCCAAAATGTGGTGCAGCTCTAAACCATCAAAGCCCATTTTTGTATTTTATATTTTCTAAAAAAATACACCTACAGTCTTTTCAAAATCCTAAACTCAATCATTCTGCCCTTTTTAGCCTATTAAAATGTTACCAAGTAGCTTCTCTCACTAACTGTCTTGCCCTTCATCTTTATTTTTTATTTTATATTATTTTTGGTGTATTTTTGGCATTTTTAAAAATTTTCAACTAAGAATATATTGACTTATTCTCTGAGTTAATAAACTAATTATATTTGTTCTGCTTTCCACTTCTATTAGGCATCCAGCAGCACATTTAATGGATTCACACAGGTAAGAAATAAACATGTTTCAGAGATTTTCTGTGGTGTCACGAGTGGACAAGGACCCCTTATGCTTTGCGGGTCTCAAACTGCCAGAAGCGTAAGGAGCGGAGGACAATACCAGACGATGAGTTACCCCTTCCATTCCCAAAGATCGTACATATCTTTAATCTAGCCAGCTTGGGTTTCAGCATAGGGACTAGGGACCGAATGGCTAGGCAGCAGTTCTGCAGAAAAGGACCTAGGGGTTACAGTGGACGAGAAGCTGGATATGAGTCAACAGTGTGCCCTTGTTGCCAAGAAGGCTAATGGCATTTTGGGCTCTATAAGTAGGGGCATTGCCAGCAGATTGAGGGATGTGATCATTCCCCTCTATTCGGCATTGGTGAGGCCTCATCTGGAGTACTGTGTCCAGTTTTGGGCCCCACACTACAAGAAGGATGTGGAAAAATTGGAAAGAGTCCAGCGGAGGGCAACAAAAATGATTAGGTGCTGGAGCACATGACTTATGAGGAGAGGCTGAGGGAACTGGGATTGTTTAGTCTGCAGAAGAGAAGAATGAGGGGGGATTTGATAGCTGCTTTCAACTACTTGAAAGGGGGTTCCAAAGAGGATGGATTTAGATTGTTCTCAGTAGTAGCAGATGACAGAACAAGGAGTAATGGTCTCAAGTTGCAGTGGGGGAGGTTTAGGTTGGATATTAGGAAAAACTTTTTCACTAGGAGGGTGGTGAACCACTGGAATGGGTTACCTAGGGAGGTGGTGGAATCTCCTTCCTTAGAGGTTTTTAAGGTCAGGCTTGACAAAGCCCTGGCTGGGATGATTTAGTTGGGGAGTGGTCCTGCTTTGAGCAGGGGGTTGGACTAGATGACCTCCTGAAGTCCCTTCCAACCCTGATATTCTATGATTCTATGATAGGCTGACCCCATGAGTAATTAACCAGGGTTTTGGGTGGGCTTGTCCAGCTTGAGTAAAGCTAGCACAGGTACGTCTATACAAGCTGCAATCGCATCCCATGACTTCAGTGTAGACATACCCAATGTCATTAGGGTGACCAGATGTCCTGATTTTATAGGGACAGTTCCGATATTCAGGGCTTTGTCTTATACAGGCACCTATCACCCTCCATCCCTGTCTTGATTTTTCACACTTGCTATCTGGTCACCGTAAATGTCATTGATATGGCGCCAATATTTCAGGTGAAATCCTGGCACCACGGAAGTTAATGACAAAACTCCCACCACTTCTGTGGGGCTAAGGTTTCCCCCAATAAGCTACTGTGTTTTAGATTTTTAGCTGAATTTTTTGGAAGTGAATTTACTCAGACCCCAGAATGTTAAGTGTGGGTTTCATATTCTTCCACCAACTTTTATACTTGTGTGTACATCTTTGTGTTCATTTTTTAAAATCTGATTTTCAGTAAGGAAGTTAGTTCTAGATTAGTTGTTAACCACAGAAATATACTGGTGGTATTTACTCGGTGCTGGGCCTCGCAGAGGTGCAGCAAAAGCGGGGTATGGTGGGGAAAAGTTGCTTTACGTGACCTTTGCACCCTCACAATCTTGGGCTGCTCCAGGGCCCCCAGCATAATTCAGGACCCAGAGCTGACTATCTAAGATACAACAGCATCCCTGGGCTACCCTATGGGCCACAGCATGCTGCTTGGAATCTCTGCAATGCTGTGGCTCCGCTCCTGCCTTTCCCATACTCACCCCCCTTACACTAAGTCTTGTGATGTGGCCCTCAGAAGGCACATTAGCTTCCAACTCCCACAGCTGGAATTGGGGCTTTCAATGCCCCTTTATGCTGCTCCAGCCTTTTTACCCATACAATGGGTCTGGAGGGGGAAGAAAATCTCACCTTTAATTTCTTACAGAACCAAATCTTTGTACTACTTAAATAAATCAAAGTTCTCATTGAATTCAGTAGGACCAGAATTTGTCCTTAGTATTTTTGTGACCTGACTGTATATAATGGACCAGATTTTTAAAAGTTGTCTTCCACCTTTGCACCTGCAAATTATTGGTGCAATTTTGCATCCACAATTATTTGGTGGGACAGTTGACATCATAGGGACATTTATGCATCTTCACCTGCTAAGATAACTCTGTGATGGGTGCAGAAAAGAACTTAAGCTGGATAGAACAGAATAGAACAAATAATTACAAACACAAAAATGGAGGCCAGTACTTAAAAATCTGCCTCATTACATGTGAATTTTAAATTGACACTGAAATTTTAGGTTTCAGAGTAGCAGCCGTGTTAGTCTGTATCCGCAAAAAAGAAGAACAGGAGTACTTGTGGCACCTTAGAGACTAACAAATTTATTAGAGCATAAGCTTTCGTGGACGCTTATGCTCTAATAAATTTGTTAGTCTCTAAGGTGCCACAAGTACTCCTGTTCTTTTTAAGATAAGAAAGGGCTGGTAATTAAATTAAGGATCTGGAAGTCCTTAGATGGGGGAGGGGTGTTGGAACAAATTGCAGAGAGTCCAGCGGAGGGCAACAAAAATGATTAGGGGGCTGGGGCACATGACTTACCCAGCCGCGGCCCCGCTCTCCCCAGCCAGCCGGAGCGCCGGGGGAGGGCGGCCCCGCTCTCCCCGGCCGGCTGGAGTGCCGAGGGAGGGCGGCCTCGCTCTCCCCGACCGGCCAGAGTGCCGGGAGGAAGGCAGAGAGCCCGGCCGCGGCCCCGCTCTCCCCAGGGGAGCGCCGCCCCCATCCAGGTGCTGCCCCAAGCACATGCTTGGAGGGCTGGTGCCTGGAGCCGGCCCTGGTAGCCAAGGCCAAGGAGTAATGGTCTCAAGTTGCAGTGGGGGAGGTCAAGGGTGGATATTAGGAAACACTATTTCACTAAGAGGGTGGTGAAGCAGTGGAATGGGTTACCTAGGGAAGTGGTGGAATCTCCTTCCTTAGAGGTTTTTAAGGTCAGGCTGGGATGATTTAGTTGGGGATTGGTCCTGCTTTGAGCAGGGGGTTGGACTAGATGACCTCCTGAGGTCCCTTCCAACCCTGATCTTCTATGATTCCATGAAGAGAGAACAGGGGATTCAGAAGACACACAGCCAAGCCCTCTAAGCCAAGGTTACATTGAGAAAAGGGGTAGATTTGAGGGTGTAGGTGAAAATAAGGGGCCAATACCCAGGGAAGGGATAGCAGTGGTATAGAGAAGTTCCCACTCTACCTGTGGTACTTATGTGGCCCCATCACCATAGTATCTGAGTGCCTCACAATGTCTAACCTCTTTCTTCTCACAGCCTCACTGAGGTCGAGCAGTGCTGTTATCCCCATTGTACAGGTGGGGCACTGAGGCACACATAGACTAAAGGACAGATTTTCAAAGGTATTAAGCACCTCGTGGGATTCTCAAAAGCACCTGGGTTTGGTGCTTTGTAAACCCCACTAGATGCGTAGCTGCCTCTTTGGGTGCCTAAAAACCTTTGAAATTCTGTCCCTAAGGCACTGGCCTGAGGTCATACAGGAAGTTCATGGGGGGGGGAGGCGGCGTAGAACCCAGGTCTCTTAAGGCTAATTCCCTATCCACTGGACCAGCCTAGCTCTGCTCCGTGCTGCAAAAGAGAGGACTCTGATAGATGGGAGCAAAACCAATAAGGCCAGTTTTCTGAGCCTCCTGCAAACAATCCCAGGTGATTGGGAAGGATTCATCGTTGACAGCATGAAAAGCAGCAGGGAGGTCAGGAAGAACATGAGAGGAGATTACTTAGGCTCCAAGGGGTGGCAGGTTCTGCCCCAGGGCTGGGTTGTAGCGCAATGGCTGCTGTGCAATTTTACATTTTAACTGAAAACCATTTTGTTTTGTCATTTTTTTGTTCTGAGTTTGAGAAAAGGAAGGAATGAGTAAGTGTTGTATGAGTATCAGATTATGTCTCAAATTCTTAGGGTTTCAGCTGAATCCAGGCTAATTCCAGAACAAGGAACACAAATTGCATGCACAGAGACCATAAAGTTGACAATTATTGTCATGATTTGTATTATTCATTGGGCCCCATCTGGGTGCTCAGCAATGTTCAGAATATGCCAGAAAATGTAGTTCCTGAGCCAATGTGTATAAAATGTGTAGCCCTGGATAAGATGGCTCAGATATTTAAGTATGAAGTGTGTAGTAGAAAGAGAGCCTGAGACATGAGACCTTGGATCCGAGACCTGATCTGAGGCCTGAGGCCTGAACTAAAGTGGTATTTAGGCCCTTCTAATATAAAGCAAAGTTAGCAAAAGTCAGGCTGTGAGCAGAAGTCAGGCTCTGCCTGCGTACAGGCTCACAGAACCTGGCAAGACCAGAGCTGGAATTGCAAAAAGCACCCACATGAGAAGTGCTAGGCACAGGACACTCACACAAACACATTCCAGAAGGGTGGTACCAGAACACCCCGATACCAAGTACAAAGAGGTATCTCAGAGTGAGTGTCAGTGGTCAGCCTAGGGGGCAGTGGAAAGTCCGCCACTGACTGAGTTGCATCCATGATCACGGGCATATGTGTTTTAGTATCCCCGTACAATCTGCCAGATGTTATTACTGTGCTTTGTCGACAATAAACCTGACCGAGTGTCTATGCTACTATCGGGTCTGTGGTTAATGAGCAGTTCAATGCGGTACTGACTATCTGGCCAGAGCCACTGCAGCACGCAGAGTGAACAACAAGTGTATAGTTATTCAGCACATGTTAATATCTATGAGTTCCCTGTGGGTCCGGGGACAGAATAGGCCCACTGCTCCTCCTGCATGTCGTAAGAGGTGACTGAAAGGAGCTGCCTGAAGAGGGATGGGCTCCGCCAAGTTAGAAATTTGCCCAAGACACACCATGTGATGAGCAAGTCAACGATGTCCATACCGGATTGATCACAGCCCGGGTTAATAATGACCGTGCCATCCGTCTCCCACCAGGGCAGACGCGACAAGTATACTACTGGTGTAACCCCAATAGAGAGGATCCGTGGAAGAGATAACATCACCATAGACACACGGAATGTAAGGACATTGAGACAAATAGGGAAGTTGAAAGAATTCACGTACGAAATGGAACAATACATCTGGCACCTCCTAGGAATCTCTGAGGTCAGATGGAAGAACTTTGGAGAGATACTAATAGAAGAAGGCCATGTGCTCTATTACATTGGAGAGGACAAACATGTCAATGGCGCAGGATTTCTTGTGCATAAAGATATCAAGAATTCAGTATTAGGATGCCGCCCAATGTCGAGCAGGCTTATTTCCATCCGTCTAAAGGCAGTACTGTTTAATATCACAGTGGTACAAGTCTACGCCCCTACAACAGACTATGACGATGAGCAATTTGAAGATTTTTACAATCAGCTCCAAGACATCATCAAGAAGGTACACAAGAAAGATATCCTGATTATACAAGGAGATTGGAATGCTAAAATGGGTACTGATGCACAGGCAGATTGGCGAGATTATTGTGGCCCTTTCTGTAATGCGGTAACCAATGAGAGAGGATTGAGACTTTTGGAGTTTGCCAGCTATAACAATCTGGTTCTTGTAAACACATTAGTAGCACATAAAGCATCCAGACAATCAACATGGCACGCACCTAATGGTCTACATCACAGCCAGATCGACTACATCATGGTGCAAAACCGATTTCATTCTGGGATTAACAGAGCTAAAACAAGGAGCTTCCCCGATGCTGATACTGGAAGTGATCACAAGCTTGTGATGCTAAATTTTTGCCTGCGGCTAAGGAAAATTGTCAGGCCAAAGTTCACCAGAACCAAGTTTGACTTAGAAAGACTCAGAGACTGAAACATTGCAGAGTCATTTCAAACAATGATCGGCAGAAAATTTGCCCCGCTACTTGCTTTAGCGGAAGACATAGAAACAATGACTAACAATTTCAATGCTGTAATGAATGAGGCAGCAATGGACATCCCTGGGAAACATCGTAAGAAGACAAAACCATGGGCCACACTACAAGTGTGATATTAGAAGAGAACTTAAGAGAGACAAGAACAGCACTGAGGGAGCTGATAAATATAGAGTGATTGGCAGAAAGATCAAGAAAGGAATGAAGGTGGCCAAGGACATATGGATTGAAAAACAATGCTCCAAAATTGAAGAGTGTATCAATAATAAAAATAGCAAACGAGCCTTCCAGGTTGTAAAAGATCTGACGAAGGAAAGATGGACCAAAGGTAATGCAATTCAAGATAAAGAAGGGAACAGTCTTACAGAAGAAAGGGACATCATCAATAGATGGACAAACTACTGCTCTGATCTGTACAACCACCAGACAAATGGAGATCCTAGTGTCTTAGACAGTCCAGATTCAACAGGCGAGAATGACTTTCCAGTACAACGTGAAGAAGTACCACAGAACAGATTTTCAACCTTCGTGTTTTATGTGAGAAGTACTTACAACACTAGCAAGACATCTACCACGTCTTTGTTGACTTCAAGAAGGCATTTGACAGAGTATGGCATGAAGCTCTCTGGGCAACCATGAAGAAGTACAATGTTGGCCATAAGCTTATTCTTACCATTAAACAACTGTATGCCAAGGCCAGCAGTGCAGTTCTCATTAATAGCACAATAGGAGCAGGGCCGGCTTTAGCAAGAGCGGGGCCCGATTCCTGGGGGCGTGGCTTGCCCCAAGCCCCGCCCCCAGGAATTGGGCTGCGCTCCGGCCGGAGCTCCAGCCGGGGTCGTGGGGCTTGGGTCTGGCCCGGAGCCGCTCAGCCGAGGCCGGGCTGGAGCTGAGCCAGGGGGCCGGGCCCGAGCCGAACCCGAGCCGGGCTGGACACGGGCCGGACCCGAGCCAAG